GCAAAATGGAAATAAGTAATATGTCTGATAGAGAATTTAAAGTGATGATCATAAAGACACTCACTGGACTTGAGAAAAGAGTGGAAGATAATAGTGAGACCCTTAAAAAAGAAATTTAAAAAAAAGAACCAATCAGAGATGAAGAACACAATAAATGCAATTAAAAATATACTACATAAAATAAATAGTAGACTAGATGAAGCAGGAAAATGAAACAGCGACCTGGAGGACAGAGTAGTGGGAAGTAATCAAACTGAGAAGATGAGAGGAAAAAATTATGCAAAAAGACTTGGAGATATCAGCAACCCCATCAAGCATAATAACATTCACATTATAGGAATCCCAGAAGGAGAAGAAAGAGAAAAAGGGACAGAATATGTATTTGAAGAAATAATAACAAAACTGTCTGAATCTGGGGAAGGAAACAGAAATCCAGATCCAAAAGTCACAGAGATAACTGAACAAAATCAACCCAAAAAGGTCCACACCAAACCATATAGTAATATAAAAGTAGTGATGGGGCACCTGGGTGGCTCAGCCAATTAAGCATTGACTTGATTTCAGCTCAGGTCACGATTTCAGGGTCATGGGATCGAGCCCTGAATCAGGCTCTGCACTCAGCAGGGAGTCTGCTTGAATTCTCTCTCCCTCTCCCTCTGCCCCTCTCCCAGCTCTCTCTCTCTATCTCTAAAATAAATAAATCTTAAAAAAAAGAAGAAAAGAAAAAAAATGGGAAAAAATAGAAAACTTCTAGCAAGATGAGAGAAGTAAAATGAACATATCTGTATGAACAGTAAATGAAATAGACATATTGCTTCAATTAAAGCTAAATAATGTCAATCTAGAGTTAAAAGAAAGCTATATGCTATTTACAAATACATATACACTTTAAAAGTAAGGATACACTTTTAAAAATGTTTTGAAGTTACTTTCATTTATTTATTTTTATTTTTATTTTTTAATATTTTATTTATTTGACAGAGAGAGACACAGTGAGAGAGGGAACACAAGCAGGGGGAGTGGGAGAGGGAGAAGCAATCTTCCCGTTGAGCAGGGAGCCCGATGCGGGGCTCAATCCCAGGACCCTGGGATCCTGACCTGAGCCGAAGGCAGATGCTTAATGATTGAGCCACCCAGGTGCCCCTGAAATTACTTTTAATGTAAAATAAAACATAGATGCAGAAAACCAACATATGAATGCATTTTATGATATGCCATCCCTGTAACCACCATCCAGATGAAAAACAGAACTATCCCAGTCACCCAGAAGCTCCTTCCTGTGCTCCCCTCAGTCACACCTGCCTCCCTCACCAAAGTGACTGCCCACTGATTTCATAACAATTATATCTGTACGTCTTTATAGTTCTGTCGCCCAAAAAGCATCCCTGGACATTATGATTTAATCTTGTCCTTTGTGTTTTCTACAATTCATAATACATTGTCTCTTTTAATTTGCAGGTTTCCCCTCCATCCCCTCTTTCCCTTATAATTTAAAGAAAAATTTATAATTGGAAATTTGGACCTCTTAATCCCTTTCACTTATTTTACCCCCTTATAATTTATTTCTTAAAGATCCCAGGTTTTGCATTGTAGTTTCTTGTAGTTTCTCCTGGCCTGGATATTGCTATTTGTATATTCACAGTGCTGTTTACCCTTCTCTGTAAATATAAGGTCACACTTACAAAGTAAATATTAAAAAATAATCCATACAAATTCTAATCATGCAATGGTGATTAACATAACAATAAAAAATAAAAAAAAACAAATTCTAATCATGAAAAAACAAATCTGGATATGGAAGTGTGAGACAAAATAGAAAATGACAAGGCATATTACAATAGGCAAAGAGTGATATTCATAATGATAAAAGCCATTCATCACAAAGACAAAACATCCTTAAATGGGCATGTATAAAATAACATGTCTTGAAAATATAAGAATAAAAAATTGATAGAACACAAAGGAATAATAGAAATATCTGCTATCTTAGTTGAGTATATTAAAAGAACAAGCAGGCAAAAAATTAGCAAAGCTGTAAAATATTTGAAACTCTATTATTTAACTTGACCTAATTGACATTTATAGAATAATATAGCTCACAAGTGAATAATCCACATTCTTTTGAATTTTACGTGGACCCATCTATCCATAATGAACCATCTAATGAACAGTGAATCTTCTCTCAGTAAATTACAATGGCTAAAATGATTCAGAGTATGATCTGTGACCACAATAGAATTAAATTAGATGTTAATAAGAAAAATGTACATGTGACATCCTCAAACTTATGGAATTTAAATGGCACATGGGGCAAGAGGAAACCATGATGTGAATTAGAAAATATTTTGAAATAAATATTAATGGAAATAAAGCATATCAACATATGTTGAATATAATACATATAAATTTGGTGAAAATTTAAAGTGATGATAAATGAACATTTATAGTTTTAAATGTATATATTAGAAAGAAGAATGGTTTAAAATGAATAAGATAAACTTCCATTCTTAGAAGCTAGAAAAAGAACAAATTACACCCAAAGTAGAAAAAGGAACACAAGAGCAAAAATCAATAAAATAGAAAACAAACATATAATAGGAAAAAAAATCCCCAACCTATTTTAAAAATAAAAATAATAAACTCAAAGAATGAAGAATGTAGAGAAAAATCACAAAATTATCAATATTGACAATGAAAAAAAGGGATTTGTAGAGATTCTACAGAGTTCAAAAGGAGGATAAGGGAGGAAGGGGAATTATGAACAACTTTGGCCAATATATCTAACAACTCAGAAGAAATAGATAAAATCCATCAGAAACAGAACTTTTCTAACACAAAGAGAAGGAGAATAACTGAATATACATATATATATTTTAAAAATTGGCTTCATAATTTAAAAAGAAAATCTCTCACAAATAAAATTCTAAGTCCAAATCACTCCATTTCTAAATTCTAAGAAACATGAGAAGAAATATTCACAGCATTACACTAACTCTTTCAAAGACTAAAGGAAAGGAATAACATTTCCCTTTTTTATGAGGCCAGCTTAACTCTGGTACAGAAATTGACAAGTTTATTACAATGAAAGAAAATTACAGACATATATTTCTTATGACTATGGATGCAAAAATCCTAAACAAAACGCTGGCAAATCAATCCAGCAAAATGTAAAAAGATAGTACATCAAATAGGATGTATCCCAGCATACAATTTGTTTCAACACTAGAAAGTCAGTAATTTTAATTCACTAAATTAACAGAAAATGAAGAAAACTATATGATCACCTCAATTTATATAACAAAAGCTTTTTTTTAATTGAAAGAGAGAGTATGAGAGAGCAAGCTGGGGTGGGGGGGTGTGGGGTGGAGGGGAAGAGTAGAAGGAAAGAGAGAGAGGGAATCCTAAGTAGGCTCCACACTCAGTGGGAGCCCAAAGTGGGGCTTAATCTCAGGACCCTGGGATCATGACCTGAGCTGGAATTAAGAGTCGGTCACTTAACCAACTGAGCCACCCAGGTGCCCCTAAACAAAACCTTGTGATAAAATTCACATTTGCAATAAGATACATATGAAAACCCCAGCAAATGGGGGCAGGGGAGTAAATTTCTGAATATAAATCTGTATGTACAAAAATCCTTTGAATGTAAGCCCCAGTATAGAAGATACTTGCAAACCACGATATCCAACAAAAGAATCATACCTGAAATGCATTAATAGGCTCAACATATAATAAGAAAGAGACAAGACCGCTCAGTTGAAAAATGGACCAGTCTCAAATAGGCATTTAACAAATACGTTATATAAATGACAAATAAATATATACAATTGTGCTAAAGTTTATTAATAACTGAAAATGCAAAATAATGACTATAATGAAACAAAAAACAAAAAAACCAAGTCTAGGCATTGATACGAATTGGAATTCTCATACATTTCTGGTGAAAATATAAATTAGTACAACAATCTTGGAAAACTTGGAAGTATCTATAAAACATACCCTTTGATTTAGCAACTTCACTCTAGAAATATATATGAAGGAAATCACTACATATGTTCACCAAAGAAAGAAAATAGCTAGGGCACCTGGGTGGCTTAGTTGGTTAAGCAACTGCCTTCGGCTCAGGTCATGATTCTGGAGTCCCGGGATTGAGTCCTACATCTGACTCCCTGCTCAGCAGGGAGTCTGCTTCTCCCTCTGACCCTCTTCCCTCTCGTGCTCTCTATCTCTCATTCTCTCTCTCTCAAATAAATAAATAAATAAAAATCTTAAAAAAAGAAAATAGCCAAACACGATTTTTAATAGCCACCACTATAAATAAGCCAACGTTAATTAACAGTAAAATCGAAAAACAGATGGTGTTATATTCATTCAATGGGCGATAAACACCGATGAGGAAAAAGGAAAGCTATTGCTCTTCATAGTATGGATGGATGGATGGCTCTCATAATCATTATATTAAAAGAACTCACATGTAAGAGTACATGATGATTAGTTCCATTTATATAAAGTTAAAAACAGACAAAACTAATCTATGATGGTATTGGTAATGATTGTCATGGGGCACTCTGGGCGTTTTGGTGGTTCTTTGTTTTATTTTTTGATCTGACTCTACGTGTTAATTACACTGGTTTGTTCACTTGAATAGAGTTGAACTGTTAGCCTATGTTTTTTAGAATATATTTATATAGATATATAGATATCTTCAATGAAAAGTTCTGTAAGAGGTGTGTATGAATCTTCCTGTTCATAACTGTTTCTTCAGCCGTGCATTTTGGAAGTGATTCTGCTCTTTTTTTAGCCTCAAAGCGGCGTCAAACTGATTCGAAGTCTTCTGCACAGACTTAGGGGCCAAGACAGCCTATGTTCAACTGTGCACTGCACCCAACCTCTCGGCCCACCTCCGCTCTCACAGCCGACTGCATCTTGCCGGGTGCGTGACCGGGAGGGGGTCTCCTCGCGCTCCCAACTGCCCTGTAGGCAAGTCAACTGCCATTATTTGGGCGGGCATCCAGGACATGAAGCCATGTTGTGCTTACTACTTCTCATCGGGCTCATCAGGGTCCAGACAGACAATAGTAAGTACAAAAACCTTTCCTCTGACCTTTTGGGAATGTCAGCTTTCCTCTCCATTTTCTTCTGAGAGGCCAGAAATCCCTGGGAAAGTGCTTTCTTGTAGGGGCCCTGACTCTGTAAGCCAGAGCCCACTGCTGTATCACCTTCCCCAACCAAAATCCACATTGGATGTGAGGCTGCTTTCCCACTCCTCTTGGTACCGTATGAAAGATGAGAGATGCCATGGTTCGAGTGAATGCCTCAAGGTTAGAGTTTCATATATTGCTTTGCATTTTCGACTTGTGGACTCTGTAGTTGGAAAAGTCCAAAAGACCTGACTTTATTTGTACTGAATTTCTCTTTAAAGTCTTATAATTCTAGAAAGAAGTGGGAATTGAGTGATTTGAAAAGATAGTTTAAAAAAAGGTGGCATATGAAAGATTATGGATTTAGATGAGGAAATAATGGAGGAAACTATGAGGTGATGGTGTTATCTAATAAAACATTTGTCCCTTGCAGATTCTGAAAGACTACGTGTGCAAATTACAATACCAGAGAAAATACTGTCAATATTAAGTGGAGGAGTTGAATCACATGTAATTAAGCACTAGCATTTTTCACATTCTAAAATCACGTAGATTTATTTTTTGTAAGACGTAAACTTGGCATTTTCATCCATGCAAACTTGGTGAATTTTATATTTATACCTAGTTTTCCTTAAGTGGGAAAGGCCTTTTGAAAATGAACCAAGATAAGCCATGCTTCATAGAAATATGGTGCAGTGATCCTTATTATCAAAGCACCAAGTCCCATCTTTCAAATCTGTTTTCCTCTTGAGTGTCTTTGAATAATGATTGACCTGATTCATCTAGAGATTCTCTTCTTACTCACTTACTAGGCTATCTTTGGAGGGTTTTTTTTTTTTTTTGTCCTTGTTAAGAAAGCCTATGGCTTCCTTATACTGTATAATGATCATTTCATTTAATGAAGTTTTATATGAGTAATTTTTGCATCTTGATTGATATGAGTAATTTTCGCATCTTGATTGCAAATATGTTAATCATTAACACATTTTTTTCATGACATCTTAGTTCATCTTGGTTCAGGGTATTAGGTTTTCTTTTCTTTGAATTAGAAAATATCTTTTTTTAAAAAACTAATTTCTAGAATCATTTACAAGATGTGAAATATATTTTTTCAAACACCACACCTTAATTTTCTTTTTGGTTGGGTAGTAAGTGTTCTGGTAATTTGAGTGCAAATATTTCCTTATCAACTACCCACTTGTCACCCTAATTTACAAACTTAAAATTTTCAATATATCATTTTAAAAGGAATGCATGTTTATGAAAACTTAAAATTTAACCATTTAAATAGAAAAAAAGGTGAGGCATGTAACTATTTTGAGAGAGTTTTTTTTAATGCAAAAATTATAAGGAATTGCTTACTCATATTAGAAAATATATACAGAATCTACTTAGAAGGAAATATCTTCAACCAGGCATCACCACCTTCTATGATAGTAATTTTCATAAAAGTACAAAAAAAATCGCCTGTCCTCAACTGTCAATTTCATGAGGGAATAAGTTTGACTATTTTGTTAATGTCTCTATCCCCATGTCTAGAAAAGTGCTGAATATATAGTGTTTTTTGAACCAGTGAGGCTATATTGTACTTACTGGTTTAACAAATGCTGTAAGCATAACATAGTGTATGTTTATAACTATTATAATTAACAAATAAATGATATAGACTATAAGAAGAGAATATTCAACTAAAAGTTCTAAAAAAAACTGAATGGCATGTCTAGATGTGAAAAGTATAATGAAATTGGGAAATAAATCAAGAATTAACAGTAGACTAGAGAGATGCAACATATAAATGACTACGGGAGAAGGAAGATAGAATTCGAAGCCTAAGTATATAATAACTGAAATTCCTGAAAGAGGGGAAAAAACCTGGAGAAGAGGCTATATTTAAACATATAATAACTGAGAAATTTTAGAAAAAAGAATCTTTAGATGTAAGTATGGCAACACAGAATAAATAAAAATCAGTATTGACAACACCTTGACATAGCGAAATCAGAATACCAGATATTCTGCTGGATGGATATTATAAAATAGGAGTAAAATAAGACAAAGAATGAGACTCAAATCTTAAAATTAAGTAGAAATGTAGAACAAAAAATAAGAGAAAATACACACACACATATTATACACATATATTTAATAATAATTATTGGTAAATAACATATCTTTGATAGTGTGTATTGTACACATATGTGTATATGTATATACACATTTGTGTGTGTGTACATATATACATACCCATATATATGTACAACACACACACACACACACACACACACACACACACTTAGGCCAAAAATATGAGTTACTTAATATTTGAAAGGTAAAGACTTTTTAGGATATAGTCAACCTTTATTGAAAGACATTAGATTCTCTTTCCCTCTCCCTCTGCCCCTTCTACTTGTGCCCTCTCTCTCTCTCTCTCTTTTTCTAAAATAAATAAATAAATCTTAAAAGAATTATACAACCACTAATAAAAGTGGAAAAATAAAAAATCGATCATGTTGGCAGTCAAGAATACTCAGTATTTTCTTAGGTTAATTTTCACCAAATCTATAGATTGACTGCTGTTCCAATAAGAAATTTCATGAAGGGTCACCTGGGTGGCTCAGTCGTTAAGTGTCTGCCTTCGGCTCAGGTCATGATCCCGGAGTCCTGAGATCGAGCCCTGCATCGGGCTCCCTGCTCGGCGGGAAGCCGGCCTCTCCCTCTCCTGCTCTCCCTGCTTGTGTTCCCTCTCTCACTCTGTCTCTCTCTGTCAAGTAAATAAATAAAATCTTTAAAAAAAAAAGAAATTTCATGGAAATTGGCAGGTTGACTCTAAAATAGATATGGAACGATAAAAGGTAAAATGTTAACTCTGAAGAACAAAACAGTGATTTACTTTGGTTTATTTCAAAGCATATTTTAAAGTTTCAGTAATTAATATAATGTATTTCTAAGGGACAAATAAATTAATAGAACAGAGAGTGCCTCCTAAAACCCAAACACATATGAGCTTATTCAATTCAATGGGGGCAATGAAATCATTGGATAAAGAAGTACCGGTTAATAAATGGTGAAGGCACAGTTGATTAATGATATAGAATAATGATAAAGTGTGTATTAATGCTACATTATACACCAAAATTGATTCAAGATCATTTAAATGCATACATCTGAGAGTAAAATATTAAAAATCTGGAAGACAAGATAGGAGATTATTTCTAGGACCTTATAATAGGGAAGTATTATACTGGAAAGAAAAAGGAACACAGATTCTTAAGTGAAGGATTAAGGAATATCTAGATTTATTTATTTATTTATTTATTTATTTATTTATGAAAAATGTTCCAGACTCACAGAAGATATTTGCAACCCATATAACACAGAAAAGTTATCCAAAATATATCAAGAATTGATATATCAAGTCAATAAGATAAAAAACAAAAAAAAAGAAACATGTACAAAGTTATGAATGACAAGGGTTGAACTTGAGAGGGTAATAATTATCAAACATATATACAAATCAGGATATTTATAGGGAATTGCCAAGTAAACACAATAGGTTACTATTTCACATCATCAATGGCAAAAGTTAAATGTAACAAAACAAAATGCAATTAGAGGAGATGGATAAAAGGATAATATTATTTACTTTTTGTGAATGTCTACATTGGTATAACAAATTTGCAGATTAATTTTAAACTTGAAGTGAAGTTGCAAAAGTACTTTTTAATAAAAGAATTTCACTCATAGGTTTAGTTTAACATATCTAGCAAATATGCACAAGAGGTATGTCTAAGATTATTTACTGGGCCATTGCTTAAAATAGTGAAACAAAACTAAACATCCATTGACAGCATAGATGAATAAACTGTGCTATATTTAGAAAATGGCATACTATACCAACAAAAAAATTATAAAGCTGCATGTGTTGTTGATGTTGATGACAGCAAATGTTTGCATAGTGCTTATTGTATGAGATAGTGTTTCAAGCAGAGATGTAATCCAGCAATGAAATATATAACTTGTAGAAGGATTACATTTAAGCAGAGCTAAAATTTATGCAAAAAATTAGTTAAACATCCATTATTAGTATAAATATAAAAATACACAAAATTCAGGATGTTGGTTAGCTGGAGTGTAAGAAAGGGAATTAATCTTGGGATGAGAAAGTACTTAAAATTGTTTTCAAATACTTGTAATGTTTTTATTTTTTAACATAGACATTGGTGACAAGGCATTTTATATAATTTGCTGTAATGTTTATATGTCCAAAAAATGTAATAATTAAAAATAATAATCAATCGTGGCTTATGGAGAAGATCAAATGCCTTTGAAAAAAAAATCATGCATAAAGTTGAAATATTGAAAGCTTTTCTCCTGAGATCAAGAAAAAGATAAGGATGTCCACAATTACCTTTTCTATTTATCCTTGCCTGGAAATATTAGCCACTGCAATAAGGAAGGAAAACAACAAAAATTAAAAATAGGCATAATAATTGGAAAAAAATAATGCTATCATTATTTACAGATTAAATGATTGTATACAAAATAAAATCCAAAATAATCTAGAGAAAATTATAAATAACATAACAATTTTGTAAATTCTTTAGAAATAAGATCAAAACACAACAAAACAAAAAGAAACAAGATCAAAACATAAAAATCAATTGTATTTCTATTCTTCAAAACAAAAATATAAAATGAAACTTTTAAAAAGAAAATTTTACACTACATAAAAATCAAAATCCAAGTAAATCTTACAAAGATAAACAAAACCTCCTCTCTGAAGACAATAAAACAAGATGAGCAGAATTAAAGGCTTAAATAAATGGACTATATCCCACGCTATTGGATTAGAAGGCCCAATAATGTAAAGATGTCAAAGCTACCCAAATTGATCTAAAAAGCCTAAATGGCCCATTTGTGAGACATCATTTCTTAATCTTACTATTAGTAAAATAGATCAATGAGTTTTGATCCAAACTTGGAATGAATTTTATAAAATATGCAAATATACATTATGTGCTGTTAAATCTTTGCTCTACTGTACAAATTTTGTATCAAATAATTTATATTCTTTCATTTTAAGCATAAGTTTTGCAGTGGCCTCAGTCTTTATTAAGCTAATGTAGTTATTGGATGAAGACCAATTTTTCAGATTCAAATGTTTATTAGCTACATTTAAAAATTAACAAATAAGAAATGACACAAATCATATTCTTCCATCCATTTTTATTATGAAAACCAATATTTAAGTATCAAGTTTCATTGAAATAAATCAACATTAAATTATAAATTTTCCTTTTTTTGTATTCATGTGCTTTGAATGTAATTATCATTAATTTAAAATGATAGTTTTCCTTTCTAACATTCTTCTCACTTTTATTTGCTTTTTTAATATACTCTTCTTGCAGGCGTCCTACAACATTATGATTGAAGGAAAAACATACACGGTGAACCTAATGCAAAAGTAGGTGATATACATTATTTTATCATCTGTATTTGTTCTAATTATTGTTTATAAGTAATCCAGAATGTAATTATTTGATATTTTTAGGTGTTCCTAGTTACTGGCTATTTATTTGTCTCTTATTTTATGCCTTAAAAACTTTAAGTCTATATAATAAATACCTAGAAGTTGAACCTGTAGTGTATACTCCCATCTTCCTCCTTCTCAGTAGCACCAGATTTTTATTTGGCTATCCATGGATTTCATGAAGGATGAATTTTGTTATTTTTCAACCTTTATCAAAACATAGATATGTCTTGTTTTTGAATCCCTAATATTCAACTATATTTGAAAAGAACATCATGAATTTTAGGGTGGAAGGAATAGTGATAATTAAAAGAAAATTACTTAACACATCATGTCAGAATGTATTTAGGACTTAGAATATAATCATAATTAGCCAAACTCAATCCCATGCCAGCTGATGAATTTAGGAAAAATAAGCACATCATACTAAGGAATAAAGAAAAATCAGAATTGTAATGGTACTTTTTAAATGGTAAAAATAGGAATTTCAGAACTCTCCATTAATGTAATTTTAAAACGGTGTGAAATTTTTTTCTTTCCAAATTTTTATTTAAAATCCAGTTAGCTAATACATAGTGTAATACTAGTTTCAGGAGTAGAATTTAGTGATTCATCACATACATATAACACCCGGTGCTCATCACAAGTGCCCTCCTTAAGTCCCATCACCTACTTTGCCCATCCCCCACCTACTTCCTCTCTGGTAATCCTGTTTGTTCTGTATAGTTAAGTCTCTTTTATGGTTTGCCTTTCTCTCTTAGCCCCCGCCACTGCCATGTTAATCTGTTTTGTTTGTTAAACTCTACATATGAGGGAAATCATATGGTATTTGTCTTTCTCTGACTGACTGATTTCGCTTAGCATAATACACTCTAGCTCCATCCACGTCATTGCAAATGGCAAGATTTCATTCTTTTTTTTATGGCTGAGTAATATTCCATTGTATAGACATACAACCTCTTCTTTATCCATTTATCAATTGTTGGACACTTGGGCTGTTTTCATAATTTGGTTATAGTAGGCAATGCTGCTATAAATATCAGGGTGCATGTATCCCTTTGAATTAATATTTTTGTATTCTTTGGGTAAATAGCTAGCAGTGCAATTGCTGGGTCATAGGGTAACTCTACTTTACCTTTTTGAGGAACCTCCATACTGTTTTCCAGAGCAGCTGCACCAGTTTGCATTCCCACCAACACTGTAAGAAGGTTCCCTTTTCTCTGCATCATTGCCAACATCTCTTGTTTCTTGTGTTGTTAATTTTAGCCATTCTGACTGGTGTGAGATGGTTATCTCATTGTGGTTTTGATTTGTACTTCCCTGATGATGAGTGATGTTGAGCATCATTTCATGTGTCTGTTAGCCATCTGTGTCATCATTAGTTGTATTGTATATTCTATATTTTTTTCCTAATATAAAGAAAGACAGCTTCTGAATAGCAGTATATTTCTTAAGCTGTCTTTTTTATATTAGGAAAAAAAGGGTATGATGAATTGAGTATTTCACACCCTACAATTAATGCTTTTCTTTTCACGCATACAAGCAGAGTTCACTTAAAAACCATCTCATAGAACACAAAATCTTTTGAAGAGTAACCACATTCTCAATGACTAGCATGATAAAATTAGAACATAATTACAAATGTTTAATGAAAGAAGAACCAGCTTTTTGGAAATTAAGTAAGAGTTACCAAATAAGTCTTGGCTTAGAAAAATTCAAAATATTGTTGCAAAATGTCAATAAAGTAGTCACAAATAGAACTTAACTTTTTAGATATGACCAAATCTGTAATCAAAGTAAAACGTAAAACTTTCATATTTTTTTTCCATTTTATATGCAACAGATGAGAATATAGTGAGTAATACTGTGGTGAAGAGGAGACAGAATAAGTGTGGCCAGGGAATCCCTGCTGGTGGAGTTACGAAGCCTTCAGTGACCACTGTCCCTACTCAGGGTGTCTTGGCAGGTAGTTGGCTTCAGGCTTAGCCAACAGTTTGTATACAAACAAGGTGATGTCACTTGCACTCTCAACAGCCTATGAAGCTTTGGCTATGTGCAGAGCTAGGAGGAATCTGTATCTTGTCACAGAAACTTAGCAATCCCCTAGGGTCTCCAAACATACAAAATTAGAACACCAATTTTATCACATTGCTCAAAGGTGTTCTTGCCAAACTCAGGAATGGATCTAGATTAGAATATTGAGGGTAATACTACAGACAAGCCTCATTTTAATTGTGCTTCATACATACTACTCTTTTACATATTGAAGGTTTTTATGGCAACCCTATGTCAAGCAAGTGGTTTTATTGATGTTTCTGCTTCGTTCCTGGTGGGTCCATTTAGCTGTCTCCAATGTTTATATTATTCATCATCTCAGAGTTTCAGGAATGATGGGCCCATTTGTAATCCATTCCACATCTGCATGAGATGTAGTTTAGGGTTTTCATTTTTGCATGTGATGCTCCTTCTGCCCTTGTCAGGATATGCTTCATTCTGTCCATTGTCTACAGACAGCAGGTATTGATTTTTTTTCTCCTTCTGTTTACAAATTGCTGAGGATATTTCTAGCTCTATGCTCTTTACTGAAAAGCCCACAGTGTGTTCTCATGCTAGAGACCAGAGGCCATTTAACCCTCCTTCCCTAAGGCACAATTCTGGTCCAGATTCTGTCCTAGTTTGCAGTGTCACCTGCTCACTCTTTCAGCTGCAGCACTAGCCTTTGCTTTTACTTCCTTGATCATTCTGTTTAAAGTAAGAATCAGTACACCTTTTGCAAAGGGCAAACATTTTAGAATGAACTCCATATGGTCTCTCTTGCAACCACTCAATTCTGCTATTGTGAAAGCTGGCATAGGGAATATGCAGATAGATGGACATTCTAATATCACTTTATATAAAAAAAAAGTGGTGAGTTGGGTTTGGCCTATAGGCCATACTTCGTCAACACTTTATTGTTTAAAGTGTAGTACCATATTTAAAAATGGTAAATGGTTAATTGGTCATTTCTGTGTGTTGAGAGTGGAAATGGAAATAGGGGATTAGGTCTTCTCACAAAAATCACTACCAATTACCTTTATTGTTGTTTTAATATTTCTTATTGTACAATATATTAAGTATAAATTAAAATACATGAAATATGCTTATGCATTTAAATGAATAATTATGAAATGAACATTCCTGTACCCCTGACATTAAACACACATTGACTGCCCTCCAAAAGCCATACAGATATCATTTTCCATCCCTGTTACTTGTAACTACTTTCCCGATCCATTGTCATAACCATTTCCTTCATTTTATTTAATTATCCTAAGTAATATATTTCTATATGTTTGTTTTGAATTCTAAATGAATCACAGCATATTCTCCTACAGCTTATGTCAGTCACTCAAAATAATGTCTGTGAGATTTATCAATGTTGTTAAAAGTAATCCAGTTTATTCATTTTTATTACTGTGTAGGATCCAATTTCATGATTATGCAACAATTTATTCTGTTATTTTGGACACTTTTGTTTTTTCTATTATGGAGATATTACAAATATTCAGATATGAAAACTCTTGTATATGTATTCTTTGTCACATGTGCACAGGATTTTCTAGGACATATAACTAAGGATAGTCTGGATTGTTAAATTATATGCATTGTCATAATTATTAAACAATTCTCCCAAAGCATTAGACTAATTTATATGCCCCTCTGAATTTCATATTCTATAAATAATGGTAGATAGTTTAAATTTTCAATAACTACTGATGTCTTACTGTGATTTAATATGTATCTAAATGCAAATAAGTCTGAATACTTTTTTAAATATATCAGTTGGCTGCTTGGATTTTCTTCTTTGTAAAGCACCTACATAAGACATTTATACTTTTTAAAAAGGTCTAATCTAGCCTTTTCTTTCCTGTTTTTAGGAATTCTTTTAACTTTTTGCTTAAAAGTCTAATTCATAATGTGTTTCCAAATAACTTCTCTTATTTTATGCGTTCTGTTTTCACACTTATGGTATTTTAGTAAAGGGAATTTTTCCTTTATGAAAAATTATAGTTTTATCTTATATAAAAAAATGCTCCTTTACTCCAGGTGTCCTCTATATTATGTGATTTTTGTATTATTGATTTGCTTTTAATTTTTTTGTGTTTATTTTGATCTTTGTTTACAACTTCCTCAAAAGAATTCTAAGTTGATGACTCATCAACCATTTTTATTTTCTAGTTTAAAAATTTAAGGCTCACTTTTTCTCCAAATACTGCTTAGCTGCTCCTCACATCTTTAGGTGTGTAGAATTTTCTCTGGTTTACCATTAGCAAACATTTTTAAGTTCATATTACATATCTTCTTTGGCCCATGAATTATTTCACTGTATCTCTAAATACCAATACATGTGGCACTTTTCTAGGTATTATTTCTAGTAATTTTTGATCACAGAATATTCTTTGATTTCAATCCTTTAAAAGTTGAGGCTAACTTTGGGATGTAATATTCAGTTTTTGTAAATATTCTATATGTACTAGAAAATAGCATGTATCCTGCAATTATTTACTATAATATTCTTTTTAAATCATGTCATAGAATTCTTCCATATTCAAAAATGATTTTTCTATTTAGTAATATTTATGTGTTAAAATCTTCCACAGTGATTTTCAAATTGATTAAATTTTGAATTCCATATTTTGAAGTTATAAAAAATTAAATAAAAATTTTACCTTTTTGGTGAATAAAATTTTAACATTATGAAGTGGCCAGTAATTATTTTAAATTTTATCTGATGTATGTATAATTACACCAACTTTATTTTGTTTCATATATGTAAACTACATTTTCCTACCATTTTCTTTCAATTTTTATCCAGTCTGGATTTTTCTTTTATTGAGTGTGAAATTCTTTCTTTAAATGCAGTCCAAATGATCATTTTTATTTTGTTGTTATTATTCTTTTCATAATTTAAAAGAAATAATTGTCTACATACAGACATCCATCAAAGCTACTATTTTCTTCTAATGGTTTTCACTTTCACTTCATATTAGCATGCTATGGATTTAGCAAAGGCCGTTGGGAAGAAAACACAACCTTTTTTCACTGCACTGTAATGTAACTGATGTCATAAATTGAATGACTCTGGACCCTTTTTTTCTCTCCTGCTAGTTTATATATTTATTCTTGTACCCTATTTATCTATACAAATACCATACTGTACTAATCACAGTGACTTTATAGTTTTTGATGCCCAGCCTTGTTCAACAGTTTTAAAATGTCCTTGCTTTTCTTGACCCTTTGATTTTCCATATAATTTTTGAAATCATTTTATTATTTTTCTTTTGTGCCTTTTATTTTATATTTTTTTATTGTCTTCATTTTAACGAATCTGTCATTTTATACTGTTTATACTATACTATACATTTCCCATCAGTTAAATTCTTTGTTATACATTCTTTTACTATTCTTTTAGTAGTTTATCTAGATTAACATGTTACTCTCTGAGTTATTGAACCTAATATGCATTATTACTTTTATCAGTTACCCTATATTGTCAAATCATTAAATCTTTTAATTCCACTTGCCTTCTTTTATGTTTTCATTATTTTTTTCAGCCATTATAATACTGCATACTTTTAAACCCCAATGAGATTATTTTTTGTACAGTCAATATTCTTTTATATTTAACCATAAATTTACTCATTCTGGTGTTTTTCATTTCTTCCCACATTTCCATTTCTATATGCAGTTAATTTATATATCTCTCTGGAATTCTCTATATTTCTGTTGCAAGTCTGCTTGTTTTTGATTATATTGGTTTGTATTCATTGTTAAATTTTTACCTAACCCTACACTTAAACATTTTTTTGCCTTTTAAAATTGTCATTCTATTATCTTCTGACTTTCTTCATTTTTATTGACAAGGTAGTTGTCAGTCTTATTTCTGTTTCTTTGAAAGTAACATCTTTTTTCTTTTTCTCTTAATACTTAGAAGATTTTATTTTGGTTTTTATTAGTCTTTTAAACAAATCAGATGTGATTTTTCTTTGCTTTTATCATGCTTGAATTACATAGAGCTTATTGATTCTGTATTATCAGTTTTGAAAAAAAATTGCTCTTATTTTCAGAGAAATTAAGTTTAGCTCCTTGGCAACTCTGCACAATTTCCAACATCAGCAAAAGATTTTTCCAGGGGAGAGAAGCTTTCTTGCCCAAACACAAATATTTGACTTTTTTCTTTCTTTTCTAAAAGACTGGTGCCTGCATATGACCAGCTAAATCTCTTTATAAGACCTTCAACTCAGAATCTGTATGTTTCCTGGAGCCCCACCCACTGTGGGTCATATTATTTTTTGGTATGACAAAAATGCAAAAAATCTTGCTCTGCTTATCAGTGTTTGGCTCTTTGACATTTTGCTTCAACAAATCCAGACTGCCATGGTAGTCACAAATTTTTATATTATGCTTATTAGAGAAATGAAATGGGATATCTACATTTACCCTTTCTCTTTATAGTGCCATTTCAGCATATTCTTCCCATATTTACAAATAATATATTGTAATGTGAGTTCTCCATCTAATCTGTGAATTCTTGTCACATTAGTTCAATATTTATTGAACATTTGTTATTTTACCAATATTCTTCTAAATGTTTGAGATGCACTAGTAAACAAAATGGACAAGAATCTCTGTTTATATTGTTATCAAATGAGACTAATAATGCTATTAATGTGGGAAACAAAGTCAAAGGAAAAATTAAATTTCCTTACTACATACAGCCCACTGACAAGTCCTTGAAACAGGCAGAGTGACATTCTTCTAGAAACTCAGCTGCCTCGATGTTAATATTTTGTTAAGGGCAAAAGGCAATCTGAGCCCAACCCCCAGGATTGTGTAAGTCTACTTTAACATATAAAAATTCCTTTGGAAACTTCTTTTATCTCTACTCCCCAAAGATGTATGTTGGCAGTCATCCCCCAAGCATATGACCCACTGATAAACATCTGAAACATCTCATGACTAAGGTTTTATTAGACAGTCATAAATGAACTTTTCCTAACAACAGCTAGCCCCTCAAGGTCCTGGAAACCTTGCTTCCAAAATTTCTTAGAGACTTACACTATCCCTAACCAACTCCCCTCCCAACTTGAAAGTATATAATTGATGACACCTCATGACCCCGGTGCAGCTCTTTCTGCCCACAGGTCCTGTCCCCGTGCTTTAATAAAACCACTTTTTTGCACCAAAGCAGTCTCAAGAATTCTTTCTTGGCTGTTGACTTTGAACCCTAACATCTTTCCTACATCAATATCATAAATGAGTGGATTAGGAAGAATGATAGAAGGTAATAAATGCTTAAGCAAAAATAGAGAGCAAAGTTAGAAGTGTTGTTTGAAAATCTTATGTTTTGATAATTAGGAAAGTTGCATTTTTAAAATAAACTTGCCAAAATAAGCCTCACTGAGAAGTTGATATGTAAGCAAAGACTTGAAGTAAATGAGACGATGAACTATGCTAAAGAGCATCCCAGGAAGGTACAAATACTCTGAGGCAAAACTTGCCTATTGTTTTTTTTTTTTGATTTTATATTTATTTATTTGAGAGAGAGAGAGAGAGTGCAAAAGCACAAGCAGTGGGAGGGACAGAGGGAAAAGCAGATGCCCTGCTGAGCAGGAGCCGAACTCAGCGTTCCATCCCAGGACCCTGGGATCATGACCTGAGCCAAAGGCAGAAGCTTAACCAAGTGAGTCACCCAGCCACCCTTTGTTGATTATGTTTTAAAAAACAGCCTAGAGGACAGTGTGATGATAAAGTGAGTGAGAAGAGATCTAGACACCAGGATTTTTGAGTAAAATTAGAACAAATCCATGTATTCAGGACTTTCTCTCTATTTCTTCCCTGACCCTATCAACTTGTCTATAATAAATACAATAAAATAAACATTTTTTTTCAAAATAGGAGCTTAGAAAACAAATCTCCCATTAAATACCTTTTATCTTTATTTTACAGAGCTTTTTTACCTCATAATTTTAGAGTTTATGGTTATAATGGCACAGGAAGTATGAAGCCTCTTGAAGAGCAGCTTCAGGTATGACTTTTACTGTCTGTTTTACCTTTATTAGGTGAGTTTCTGTGATCACCTTACTTAGGGTTGGCCTGTTAGAAAACAAAGGGTTGGAGTTATGTTTTGTTTTAAAATGAAGTTAACCATTTACTTTTGATGATGCTGTAACTGAACTAGCATGAGTTAGCTCCTTAGTGAGTTACAGATAGAGGCTACACCAGGTGGTTGTCACATAAAGGAAACTACTTGCAACAAATAAAATCACAGGGAATAGTTCCAAAGCCTAAGCAAGAATGAGCAGGTTCTTTTTCTTTAGTGTTTAGGATGAATATTCAGAAAGGGGAGCTTTGTCATCGCATATGAAGGTAGGCATAAAGTTGTGCAGATGTCCTTAGAAAACATGCCTATACACACATTTTATGCTTGTTAATGAAGCTTGTGCTCCTCATAGGGTGGAGATTTTAGCATTATAATGAAACAGAGGTAAGTGTTGGACAAGGAGAAGGGGCCGTGGGCATGCTCAGAGAGCCAGTATAAACTAGATGGGGTCTTGGGCTCTTATCTTGGGTAAAGAATGCGGGGTCTTGCTTATTTTTGAAACAGCTCTGAGAGTTTTACTACAGATTTATTGTCTATGATGTGGTTAGGCTATTTCCTAGCCTGGTAGAGACTTAGGTTTGCATTCCCTTTGTTCCATTAAAATCCTTAACTACTGAGGTTTTGGCATTTCTTTGTAATTCTGATACCTCCTAGGGAGCTCTAAAAGAACTGTCCTTGGGCAAATAGTGCTGGTAGGGCATAGATCACAGAAAATAGCTGGGGAGGGGGGTGCTAAAATGACTTCTCTTCTGTCACAAAAGCTATGTCTCATCTTTCTTTTTCTGGGGACCCCTAGCTTTCTGCTTATAATGTGTCTCAAGTTAGCCTTATGACACAGATGGTCAACTAAATAAAAAACGATTGTGATTTCTTTAAGCTATTATTTCACGATGATGTACATGTATGTACTTAAGTACATGTAGCAGCAGGGTTGAAAATATCATGAAATAAATATGTGAAAAAATATGATTTAATCAGGAAAGGTAAATCTGGGAAGAAAAGGAGAATCCAAAGACTTGTCTAACATATGTTCAGGGACCAAATAAATACACATGGAATTTCATGTACATTTAAGAAATATATTAAATTTTCATGTATTTGGAACACTTGGAGCTTCCTTTAATAATGTCCATAATTTGTTGTAAAAATAATTGAGAAGTGTGCATAGAATTGCAGGGATTACTCATGTTTGAAATGCAGTTTTTCTTTTTTCCCTTCGTGCTGCCCTCCCAATTTCTATTGTTTTTTTCTGTTTGTATGCCTGATTTCTGCATAGTGAATCAACCAATATTTTGAAATTAAAACATTTTTATTTAGACTAAACTTTTGTAACAGAATAAGTAATAGATAATGGTGAGTTGCTTTAAATTTTGTCCAATAGATTAGGCAAATATATGTGAGTCATCTACAGAAATATATAAATACTACATGCTGTCAAAAATGATATATATATGTATATGTATACACACATAAATATATAATACATGTGTGTATCATATATGTGCATGTGTGTGTGTGTATGAAAGAGAGAGACAGACAGAATTAGCACCAGTGAGACAAAGAGATATACAGGGCTGCAATATCCCATACCTGAATTTTATGTAATTCTGCTATACCTAACACCTAACTCTGCTTCCTACTTCCCAGGAGGTAACCATGAGAGATAAATGTATAATTTTAAAAAACAAAGCAAAGAATGCTTTATTGATAACCCGAATGAAGAAGGTTGTTAAGTTGGCTTCAGATGCAATGAATATCTGGTGCCATATAAATAACTTATATTTGCCAAAGCTGCAAGCCTATTTCCAGTGCTGGAAAAATCAGGAAAGTTTATTAAATTAGATTAAAAGTAGATAAATTTGTTTTTAATGAAGTCTACTAATGATTTTTATCCCTCAAAGTCATATTTTCTTGGTGAATACAGACTTATTTTAGAACAAATTAGCCTGTTAGACATAGAAAGAATTTGTTCCCAGTGCCTAGAGCTTACAAGTATAAGCCATTCATCATTGTTGTGGACTTTACAGTCTCTCTAGAACAAATAACTATTCATCATGATTTAAAGGTAAAATCACCAGGACAGCATAACAATTCAAAATATGTATGCACATAAAAACAGACCTCAAATTACATGAGGCAGAAATTGACAGAAATGAAAGGAGAAATAAATTATTAAGATAATTGAATTTTTAAATATTCTTTTCTCAATAATTGATAGATGAAGTAGAAAGAAACTCAGCAAATCTGTTGGACCTTGAGTGGAACTATCAATCAACTTCATCTAATCAACATTTATAGGAGCTAACACATAGTAGCAATAGTATACATATTCTTTTTAGTGCAAAGAGAACATTGAACAAGATATAATAGAGGAAAACAGTGTAAGAAATGGCAATGATAAGAACAGGAAAAAACAAAGAATGAAATTGATTAATAATAATAATAATAATGAGCTTTTTGACTCCTCCATGAAAATTTTATCTTAATGATTACTTAAAAATGATTTTTTACTTATTTATTTACAACTTTTCCAATTATTTATAATGCTGATATAACTTACTGATTATTACAAAGAATTAGAAATGTTATCAATCTGAATAATAGAAACCACATTTGGAAGGAAGTAGATAAAAGCTGGTGGAAAGGTCTAGGTATTTTTTCTTGATCTTATGAAGTATGATTCATACAGATGAAACTCTACATAGGCCCACAATTAAAAAAATACAAAGTAATCCACTGATAGTATACCAATGAAATATTTTAAAAAAATAAGACAAGACACTGTTTTAGTTTATATTTGATTAATGTAAAGAAACCATGTAGTAACTTGAAAAGGGAAAGTGTAATATAACGAATTATTAACTGTAACAGGGACTAGAATAAAAAATAAGAAGTAAAGAAAACTCGAAAAAATATAGGAATGCCAGATACAAGAAACAGCCAGCAACCCTAAGACTGGAATGAAGAAGACAATCTTGTTATCCCAGGGCTGAGATCCAAACCTTGTTAGAAGGGGCACAGCTGTGGATCTCTGAATAGCAGGAAGTCACAATGGTGCTGTACCAATAGGTATGGCCATAGAATTTCTCTTTGGAACTTTCTGGAAATCTATTTAGGGTAGTCAGGAAAGCTGTTCACAAAGAGGTATGTCACAAAGCTACTCTGCTGCAAAAGGAGAGAGATTTGAATTATGGGAGGAACCTACTGGCTGATGGGTGCTAGCAACCATGATACACTAAAGCATCTGTGTACTAGAGAATCGTCAAGCACTGAGGGATCCTGGTGGTGTAATGAGCAGGACATTTAACAGGAGCCTTCCAAACTAGCACACTGGAACCAGGAAACAAAGCTCTCCTACACCTTCTACTGGTAAAACTTTAGTGCCACTTGCCAAAGGAAAAAATAATTTAGGGGCCCAGATTCATTTTCACAAAGCAGGTAAAAGATTTATTAGGAGCTGAGGGCCAAAACATCAATAATTGATAAAGTCTACAACTTTGACTATTCAGCTTTCATTTGCACATATTTGAACTCTGGTAAAACAACATAATTACCTTATATCTCTATTTAACAAGATTCAGCTACCCTTTTTTTTTAAAAGATTTTATTTATTTATTTGAGAGAGAGAGAATGAGAGACAGAGAGCATGAGAGGGAAGAGGGTCAGAGGGAGAAGCAGACTCCCTGCTGAGCAGGGAGCCCGATGTGGGACTCGATCCTGGGACTCCAGGATCATGACCTGAGCCGAAGGCAGTCGCCTAACCAACTGAGCCACCCAGGCACCCTCAGCTACCCTTTCTACAAGTGAAGAAATTCCCACCCTTCCCCTCAATTAAGGAGACACACAATCACAAGAGCCATCATATCCATTATGTAATACTATGTTAACTAGAGATTAAATTGTGAAGTTAACTTCCAAGAACTTGTAGGTAAACTAATAATAGGAAGAAGGAAAAAGAAAAAGGCTAGCATATAAAATAAACATGTATGTATACATACAAGAAACAAAGAAAATATGCGAAGTCCCTAATGTCTTCATTTCTTTATTAAGTAATGATTGCTCTCTATGGCTTTCCCCCCTACTACCTATTCCTTTTCCCATTGCTTTCACCCAGAACCTTAGGTTGTTAAGGATATTTACCAAGCAAAATGGAGCAAGTCTTTATTCCCAAAGGGTCTGAATCTTTAATCATACTTTCTTTTGGTTGCTGTAATAATCAGCTGGGCTCAAGTCATAGCCCTTCTTGCTTTTATTGGTAAAAGCAACCAATTTCCCTTGATATTCAGAGTCAGTCACTCCAACCACTACATTAGCCTTTGTTTAGTGATGTAACAATCTCGGCATATCCAGTTGGAAGTTTCCACCTTCTAAATTAGTGGAACTGTTATGTCACTTGGTGGAGAAATTCCCTACCAATGACCTGAAGCTAAAAGTTACTGAGGTGGAAAGCAAAAATTCTACAAGAAGATTACTAGGTATAATGGTGAGAGGAGACATTCCCACTTCGACACTAATTCCTGAACCCACATTTTCTGGCTATCAGGAAACCATACCATATAATGATCTCTGGTTCAAACATAACCCCAGCCTTTGAGAGTACTAACTGGCATGGTAAATGACTATTTAGTAAACTAGTGTATCTTCCAACTAGGCTAGCTACTTTCAACTAATAGAATTATATGGAAAAGTATATGTTAATTTCAAGCACATAAACCCATTGATGTACTTTATTTGCTGAGTAATAAGTTTCTGTATCAAACCCAGGCTGTCATAAAGATTTGTCATTTTTGTTTATCTTTTTAAAGAGTCACCTTTTGGTTTTATTGATTTATTTTATTTTTTATCTATTCTTATTTATTTTATTTCACTCTAATCTTTAGTATTTCCTTTCTTCTGTTTGATTTGGGTTTAGTTTCTTTTTTTTCCCCTGTGTCCCAGGTGGATGGTTAGGATATTCATTTAAGATTTTCTTACATATAAATTTATCTCTTATTTAGCTACCTACCATACTTTTTAGTATGGTGTGTCTTCATTTTAATTTATTTTAAAGTATTTTCTGGCTTCATGTTTATTTCTTCTCTGACCCATATAGGTTATTTAGGATGTGATATTTAATTTCCACATATTTTTTAGTTTTTCCAGATTTTTGTGTAAATGATTTCTAATTTCATACTATTGTTATCAGAAAACATACTTTTGTTATTTGTATACTTTTAAAGTAATTGACGCTTTTTTTTATAGCCTAGCATATGGTCTGTCCTAGAAAATGTTCCATGTGTACATAAAAAGAATGTATAAACTGTTGTTGTTCAGTGGAGTGTTTTACAGTTCTCTGTTAGGTTTCATTTGTTTATGGTGTTTTCAAGTTTTATATTTCCTTGTTGATCTTCTGCCTAGTTGTTCTATCTGTTACTGAAAGTGAGATAGAAGAAGAAATCTCCAACTATAATTGTTGAATTGTCTATTTCTCTCTACATTTTTACCTTTTTTTTTTTGCTTTGTGCAGTTTGGTGTTCAGTTATTTGGTGCATATATATTTACAAATGTTATATCTTCCTGATGGGTTGAAACTTTTATTATTATAAAATGTTGCTCTTTATTTCTAGTAACAATTTTTTGTTTTAAAGTCTATTTTGTCTGATTATCAGTGCAGTCACTCTGATTTGCTTGTGGTTGCTATTTGCATGATACATGTTTTTTCATTCTTTTATTCCCCATCTATTTGTAACTTTGAATTTAAAGCATGGTACCTGTCAACAGACTATAGTTGTGTTTTGTTTTTTACCTTTTCTGACAATCTTTACCTTTTATTGATAGTCTCTATTTGATATGATATTGTTATCATACCTCTATTTTTTTAAATCATGGTTTCCTTCAATAATTCTTTGAACATAATTATAATGTCTGCTTGAAGTTTTTTTCTGTTAAATCCAGTACCTGGTCACTTTCACAAGTAGTTTCTAATGCTTGCTTTTTTTTTTTTTCAACCTAATGTGTTCCTTAGATCTTGTGAAAATAAACAAAAACCAAACAAATGAGAATAAGCAAAGACTACTTACTCAAAGCTTGCCATTGTAAGAGAGTCAGCCACCATCACTTGAATTTTGGTAGGCACTTAAAAGCAGGAGAAGAGTGGGAAAGGTTTATATGGTAGAAAAAAGGGAAAGCATCAGGAATACCCTGACTAGAGGTTGTTGGCATGAAAAAGCTGTGGGTAGACTAACTAGAAGTGGTGAAGCATTTTTTATTTTATGTTTAGGAGTATGTATTTGACTCTCTGCTTGGTTCTAAGTTGGAAGGAGAAACAAAAATTAGGTAAGCTGACAGTTTTTAATCAAGTCTTGGTTATTTGGGGTGACTGTTATATAAGTTATTGTTTAGTTTTCTGGATTGTTACTGGAGATAGCAATATGACTTCCTATAAAGTCTGACTTGCAGTGGGCTGGCTTTCTGGGCTATTTATTGTCAACAATAGGATTGATTTCCTGGATAGGTTACTGAAGGTTTTGTGACACACTTCTATTTTTACATATGGTCTGGCCTTTGTTCATTTGTATATTCAGTTTCTAAATCTATAATTGTAGTTTTTCACTAAATTTAGGGAAACTTTGGCCATTATCTTTTCAACTATTTTCCTACCTATTTTTCTTTCCATTTTTCTGGGACTCCAATTAAACATATATTAGATAACATTGTCTCACTGATTGCTGCAACTATATTTAATTTTTAAAGCCTTTTTTTTCTCAGCTTTCTTTCAGATTTGATAATATCTATAGGTCCATACTCTAGGTGTTTTTTTTAAACCTTTTCTCTTACGTTCTCCAATATGCAGTAAGACCTATCCAGTATATTTCATTTTATTTTATTTTTATTTTTTAAAAAGATTTTATTTATTTATGTGTGTGAGAGAGAAAGACAGAGAGAACACAAGCAGGGGGAGCGGCAAGCAGAGGGAGAAGCAGGAGCAAGGAGCCCGATGTGGGACTCGATCCCAGGACCCTGGGATCATGACCTGAGCTGAAGACAGGTGCTTAACTGACTGAGCCACCCAGGTGTCCCAGTATATTTCATTTTAAATATATTTTTTGTTCTAAAATTTAGAGTTGGCATTTTTTTAAAGATTTTATTTATTTATTTGTCAGAGAGAGAGAGAGATATACCACAAGCAGGGGGAGTGGCAGGCAGAGCAGGCTCCCTGCTGAGCAAGGAGCCCAATGTGGGACTCAATCCTAGGACCCTGGGATCATGACCTGAGCCAAAGGCAGACACTTAACTGAGTGAACCACCCAGGCATCTCTAGAGCTGATATTTTTTATAACCTTTATTTCTCTGCTGAATTTCCTTATTGTGCTCAAAGTTTCCTTTATATTCTAGATCACATTTTTAGTATCTGTTTTAATGCCTTTTTTCTTTACTAATTCCAAAATCCTTAGTTATTTCAGGATCAGTTCTCTTTTGGATTTTTCTCTTGACTATGGGCCACATTTTTCTTTTATTCATATATACAATATTTTAAAATCCTATACTGGCTGTATTCAATGATACATTGGAGGTTGTGATTGTTTTTATTCTTGCTATTGCAGACAATAAACTTGATTGGAGCGAGTTTCCAAATTCTACTGTCTTGTGTTTGGAGACAGCCAAAAATCTCTTCGTAGTATTTCCAGTTTTTGTGGTCTTAGTTTCTGCTAAACTACTTGAGACTTCTTTCATACAGTCTCAAATTTAGATGTAAGAACCTACACCTGAGTTAATTGCACCCATTTTTAAGGCCGCACTTTGTGCCTTCTCCTTTCCTGAATATCGCATCTCAATTTCTAAATACTCAGTAATTTGTTTTTTGTGTTTTATTTGTTTTTGGAACATTAGCTACTTTATGCTACCCTGCCTTGGGGAGTGCTCTCAGGTGAAAACCGTTACAAATGCAAACCTCGGAAAATGCAGTTTTCTTCTTTCTAGTGTGGATTCCTGCTCTCCCTCCTTTACTTTTCCTGCCTTTGTAGTGATAATTTAAGAATTTCTTTTCCAGAGTTTATAATTATTATCAGTGAGAGAGAGTTAATGCAAGCTACTCTGCCCTTACACTCAAGTAATTCTGAAAAGAAAAAAATTCTCTTTTGGATTCATTTTTTAACCTCTGTCTTGCAAAATTAAGTCAAGAGAGCATGGAAAAAAAAGTTTCTAATGATTTTTACTTTGATCCTAATGACTGCAAATGTCATGTTTAATTTTTAACAGTAAAACAATATGAAAAGGTACTTAATTCTTTTTTTTTAATGCTTAAAGGTTTTAATTCTCTTAATACCAAGAGTTAACATTTTATGATTACCCTTTGAAAACAAGGTACTGGGAGCAATTTTGAAATTTTCAAAATCAGTACATACTTAATTCTATTTGACCCTGTGGGAACATTTTTGGAGAACTGAGCCAAATGCTCTTTTAATAATCTTATAAATCTATTTTGGAAAAAATTAGTATTTGACACACACAAATAAACATATGTTTTAAATATTTGAAAATAGTTCCTTTAACATGAATTATTTTAATGAATTATTCTAATAGAGGTACATGTATTTTATCTTTATTTTTCAGAATTTTTGCTACTACCAAGGGTATATCGAAGGTTATCCAAATTCTATGGTGATCGTTAGCACATGTACTGGACTCAGGTTATGTTATATAATTTTATGATTACCAAGTAGAATAGTGTTTTAGAAATTTTTAAATTCATTTTTTTTTTGAGAGAGAGAGAGAGCACAAGTGGGCAGGGGCAGAGGGAGAAGGAGAGAAAATCCTAAGCAGGCTCCATGCTGTCAGAGTGGAGCCTGACACGGGGCTTGATCTCATGACCCTGAGATCATGACCTGAGCCAAAACCAAGAGTTGGTTGCTTAACCTACTGAGCCACTCAGGTGCCCCAGAAACTTTTAAATTCTTAAAATTATATTCAGGAGTTCTAAAGTAAGCCATGACTTATTGTGGGAAACTCTCAGTGGAAATCATAGTATGCAAATTCTTGTAATGTCTCCTACCCAATCTTGAATTAAGATTTTTGATATATTTGTAGACTATAAAATATTAATTGCTAAGTGAATACTAATAATGTTACTATTCTGTACCACTCAGTAAGTTTGTGTGTATTCAGTAACTTTTTTCTACATTACCATCTAAGACTAAGACTCAAAATAATCTACATACTATTTAAAAAAATGCATTCAGTATCATTTTCTTATTTATTGTATTGACTTTAAAATGTATTATTTATTTACTTATTTTTTGAAATTTGTAGGGGCTTACTTCAGTTTGAAAATGTAAGTTATGGTATTGAGCCCTTGGAACCTTCAATTGGTTTTGAACATGTGATTTATGAAGTAAAACATAAGAATAAAGGTGTTTCTTTATATGCTGAGAAGGATATTGAGTCAAGAGAAATGCCCTATAAAATACAAAGTATAGAGGTAGGTGATTGAGTAAAATATATGATTCTGCATAGAAACTTATTGTTCAGTAAATGAACAAATAAATTATTAACTAAATATTAACCAATCCCAATCTCAAAGATCAAGGATTATTTCAGGGAATGTTAGGCAACACTTATGTTTATTAAAACAAAGAAATAGATTTGAATCCCTCAATCCATTAATACATTAATATATTATTTAAATGTTTATTTTTCTCCTCCAGTAAGGTAGTGTCATTTTCTTGTTTAAGGATTTTAATGAAAAGATAGAGTCTTATAAGCAAGACTATTATACAACATTTGGTGCTTAATTTTGTAAGAAATGATAAGAAACCAATTAGACCATAAGGGGATTTCATCAGCATTTTTAAATGAAACCCTCAAATCTCTAAAACTTGGCCCAAGAAAGAGAATTTTAAAGTGAGGGAGAAGAATGAGTAATCATTGAACCCTAAATTTGTCTTTCTGACCTTTCTCAACTTTTCTTTTGCCTCAAATTACTAAAATCATTACTCTTTTCATCTCCACTAAACCCCAGATTTGTTGTTTCCTCTTTAATTCTCCTTTTTATATGTTAAGGAAAACAGTTTACCTAAAATGGAATGGTTTTGAACTTTCAAGGGATTAAATATCAGTGTAAAGAAGAAAAAATGCAGACACTAAAATAAACATGATAAAATTTTCCTCAGTTTCTGAAATTTGATGATTCCTTTCTGCTTCCAAATATTTTCCAGTGCATGTAGATGGTATGCTATTTTAGTAACAAAATATTTTAAGTTTCCACACATACAGTCTTAATGTGCTTGCAAACACTGTCTTACATGTTTTCTTCAGTGCCTTCCTCCTTCACCAAAAAATAAAGATGAATATAAGTAACATTTTATTAATAGTAATTATGGCAATTATTACTTTATCCTTATTTTTGGGAAAAAACAGTCTAAGTCACATAAATGATAAACCAGCTTTCAAACACCATTGCCTAATTTAACCACTATGATCTAAGTGGATCAGAATACCAGAATACACATCTTGAGATATCTATCATGTGATTTAAGAAAGTTTGTCATTTTGAATCTCTGTTGGATAACATTTTTCTATTAAAAATTTTTTTTTAATTTGCTAACATTTTTCTGAGGTAAATTATACGAAAATTAACTTTATCCTTCAAATGAAATCCCACTCCTCTAGACACAGAGATATGTTCTCACTCTTTTGGGGTATAGAAAAAAATCATAGGATTGTATACTACAGTATAATAGAATTTTTAAGCTAATTAAACACACACATCTTATAATGGGAAGTCAATGGAAAAGTTTCTTTAGAGAAAATATGAGTAGCCCAATACCAATGAGAATATGGACAATGGAAGTAAAGAATTTTTTTTATTAAATTAAATATTTGATCAAGTGCAAAAGAAGTGACAAAGGCAAAATTTCTGAAAATGATTCAGTGATAACAAGTTTTGCTTAAATTATCTAATTCTTTTTTATATATAAAACTGTATTTTGCAACATTGAATTCATGAAGTAGTGATATAAAAATAGTTAAGTAATACTTCAATTTTGATATAAAATTTGTGGATTTTTTTCAGCCACTTTCAGAGTTCTCTCAGTATATAGAAATGCATGTTGTAGTTGAAAAAAATTTGGTAAGTATATTTTAATTTGTTTGTTTTATGTCCATTTTTATTAGCAATGAAGGGTTATGAAGAAGTTGGAATAAATTTTTAACAAATGACAATAAATGACCATTTTTGTTTTATCTCTGCTTTAATGTATTTTAAATTACTACTAGTAGTAAATTGGAAATCAAATCTTTGTAAATTTATTCTAGTTTTATATAAATAATGTAAATTAAAACAAATTGCTACCTTTAGAATAGTTTCTTAGTAATTTTTATTTATCCTTCACATCCTCCTAATGTTCAGAAATGCCTGATCTTTTTACTGTCTCCATAGTTTTGGCTTTTTCGGGATGTCATGTAATTGAAATATATAGTATGTACCAAATACAAACTGTTTTCTTTACCTTAGTAATATGTTTTTAACTTTACTCCATGCCTTTTCATGGCTTAATAGGTCACTTCTTTTCAGCACTGAATAAAATTCTATTATCTGGATATACTACAATTTTTTCACTCACCTACTGAAGGATATCTTGATTGCTTCCAAGTTTTGGAAAATTGTGAACCAAACTGCTAAAAATATCCATGTACAGGTTTTTGTGTGGACATAAGTTCTGACTCCTTTGGGTAAATACCAAGGAGTATTATTACTAGATCATATGGTTAAGAGTTTGTTTCATTTTGTAAGAAACTGCTAGACTTTCTTCTAAAGTGACTGTACCATTTTGCATTTAGCACTTTAAATATATCATTTCATTATCTTCTTGGCCTCTGTGGTTTCTTTTTTTCATTTTTTTTGAAAGAGAGAGAGAAAGAATGGCAAAAGGGTGAAGAGAGAACCTGAAGCAGGCTCCACATTCAATGCAGAGCCTGATGTAGGACTACATCTCACAACCCTGAGACCATGACCTCAGCTGTAATCAAGAGTCAGATGCTTAACTGACTGAGCCACCCAGGTGTCCCTGGCCTCTAAGGTTTCTGATGAAAAATTGACTGATGGTTTTATCATTACTTCTGTCTTGCTGCTTTCAGTATCCCATATTTGTCTTTAGCTTTGATAGTTTGATTATAATGTCTTTGATTATAATGTGTCTTGATACGGTTCTCTTTGGATTTATGCTTCTTAGTGTTGTTGAGCTTCCAGGATTTATATGTTCACATGTTTCATCAAATTTGGGAAGGTTTTGGCCATTGTTTCTTCAAAAATCTCTCTTATCAGGGACTCCCATAACTCATATATTGTTATGCACAATAGTGTCTCATAATTCTTTTTTTTTTCTTTCTCTGGTTCTTAGACTCAGTAATTTCAATTATCTTATCCTTGACTCTGATAATTCTTTGTTATGTCCAAATCCTCACCAACATCTGTTGTTTCTTGTGTTTTTGATTTTAGCCATTCTGATAGGTGTGAGGTGATATCTCATTGCAGTTTTGATTTGTATTTCCCTGATCATGAGTGATGTTGAGCATTCATATGTGTTGGCCATCTGTATGACTTCTTGGGAAAATGTCTACTTATGTCTTTCACCCATTTTTAAATAGGATTATTCATTTTTTTGTTGTTGAGTTTTATACATTCTTTATATATTTTGGGTACTAACCTTTATCAGATATGCCATTTGCAAATATCTTTTCCTATTCTGTAGGCTGCCTTTTAGTTTTGCTAATTGTTTCCTTTTCTTGATATTTTGATGAAGTCTCAATAGTTTATTTTTCCTTTTGTTTCCCTTGCCTCAAGATACTATGTCTAGAAAAAAGTTGCTGTGGCCAATAGCAGAGAGGTTACTGCCTGTGTTCTTCTATAGTATTTTTATGTCTTCAGGTATCACATTTAGGTCTTTCACCCACTTCGAATTTATTTTTGTATATGGTGTAAGAAAGTGGTCCAGTTTCATTATTTGCATGTTGCTATCCTGTTTTCCCAATACCATTTGTTGAAGACCCTATCTTTTTTTCCATTGGATATTCTTTCCTGCTTTGTCAAAGAATAATTGACCATGTAGTTGTGAGTTCATTTCTTAATTTCCTATTCTGTTCTACTCGTCTATGTGTTTATTTTTGTGCCAGTACTATACTGTTTTGATCACTACAGCTTTGTAACATAACTTGAAGTTATGATTATGTTGCCTTCAGCTTTGCTTTCCTTTTTCATGATTGTTTGGCTATTAAAGGTGTGCTGTGGTTCCACACAAATTTTAGGATTGTTTGTTCTAGTTCTATGAAAAATGTTATTGGTATTTTGATAGGGATTACATTAAATGTGTAGATTACTTTGGGTACTATAGACATTTCAACAACATTTGTTCTTTCAATCCATGAGCATGGAACATCTTTCCATTTCTCTTCAGTTTCTTTTATTAGTTGTTTTATAGTTTTCAGAGTACAGGTCTTTCACCTTTTTGGTTAGGTTTATTCCTAGGTATCTTATGGTTGTTGGTGCAATTGTAAATGGGATTGATTCCCTAATTTCTCTTTTTGCTGTATCATTAGTGGTCTATAGGAATGAAACAAATTTCTGTAATTTAGTATCCTGTGACTTTATTAAATTCATGGATCAGTTTTAGTAATTTTTTGGTGGAATCTTCTAGGTTTTCCATATAGAGTATCATGTCATCTGCAAATAGGAAAGTTTGACTTCTTCCTTGCCAATTTGGATCCCTTTTATTTCTTTTTGTTGTCTGATTGCTGTAGTTAGGACTTCTAGTACTATCTTAAATAACAGTGGACATCCCTGTTTTGTTCCTGAACATAGATGAAAATCTCTCAGTTTTTTCCACAGAAGATGATGTTGGCTGTGGGTTTTTTATAAATTGTCTTAATTATGATGAGGTATGTCTCCCTAAACCTACTATGTTGTGGGTTTTTATCATGAATGGACGCTGTAGTTTTCAGATAATATTTCTGCATTTATTGAAATAATCATATGGTTTTTATTCTTTCTTTTATTAATGTGGTGTATCACATTGATTTGTGCTTATTGAGCCACCCTTGCAAACCAGGAATAAATATCACTTGATTGGTGAATGATTTTTTTTAATGTATTGTTAGATTCAGTCTGCTGCTATTTTATTGAAAATTTTTGCATCGATGTTCTTCAACGATATTGGTCTCTAGTTCTCTTTTTTAGTGGAGTCTTTACTGGTTTTGGTATTGGGGTTAATGCTGGGCTCATAGAATGAATTTGAGAGTTTTCCTGCCTCTTATATTTTTTAGAATATTTTGAGAAAAATAGGTATTAACTCTTTTTTTAATTTAATTTAATTTTATTATGTTATGTTAGTCTCCATACAATGCATCATTAGTTTTTGATGTAGTGATCCACGATTCATTGTTTTTGTATAACACCCAGTGCTCCATGCAATACGTGCACTCCTTAATACCTATCACCGGGCTAACCCATCCCCCTACCCCCCTCTAAAACCCTCACATTCTCAGAGTCCATAGTCTCTCAAGGTTCATCTCACCCTCCAATTTCCCCCCCTTCATTTTTCTCTTCTTTCTCCTAATGTCCTCCATGCTATTCCTTATGTTCCACAAATAAGTGAAACCATATGATAATTGACTTTCTCTGCTTGACCTCTTTCACTTAGTATAATCTCCTCCAGTCCCATCCATGTTGATGTAAAAGTTGGGTATTCATCCTTTCTGATGGCTGAGTAATATTCCATTGTATATATGGACCAAATCTTCTTTATCCATTCGTCTGTTGAAGGGCATCTCAGCTCTTTCCACAGTTTGGTTATTGTGGACATTGCAACTATGAACATTGGGGTACATATGAACATATGGCCCTTCTTTTCACTACATCTGTGTCTTTGGGGTAAATATCCAGAAGTGCAATTGCTGGGTCATAGGGTACCTATATTTTTAATTTTTTGAGGCACCTCCACACTGTTTTCCAAAGGGGCTGTACCAACTTGCATTCCCACCAACAGTGTAAGAGGGTTCCCCTTTCTCCACAACCTCTTCAACATTTGTTGTTTCTTGCCTTGTCAATTTTTGCCATTCTAACTGGCGTAAGGTGGTATCTCAATGTGGTTTTGATCTGCATTTCCCTGATGGCTAATGATGATGAACATTTTTTCATGTGTCTGTTAGCCATTTATATGTCTTCTTTGGAGAAGTGTCTGTTTATGTCTTCTGCCCATTTTTTGACTTGATTATTTGTTTCTTTGGGTGTTGAGTTTGAGTTCTTTATAGATCTTGGAAATCAGACCTTTGCCTGTAGTGTCATTTGAAAATATCTTCTCCCATTCTGTGGGTTGCCTCTTTGTTTTGTTGACTGTTCCTTTTGCTGTGCAGAAGCTTTTTATATTGACGAAGACCCAAAAGTTCATTTTTGCTTTTGTTTCACTTGCCTTTAGAGATGTATCTTGAAAGAAGCTGCTGTGGCTGATGTTGAAGAGATTACTGCCTATGTTCTCCTCTAGGATTTTGATGGATTCCTATCTCACATTGAGGTCTTTCATCCATTTTGAGTTTATCTTTTTGTATGGTGTTAGACAATGGTCGAGTTTCATGTCCAATTTTCCCAGCATCATTTATTGAAGAGACTGTCTTTTTTCCATTGCACATTTTTTCCTGCTTTGTCAAAGATTATTTGACCAGAGTTGAGGGTCCATATCTGGGCTCTCTATTCTGTTCCTTTGGTCTATATGTCTGTGTGTGTGTGCCAGTACCATGCTGTCTTGGTGATCACTGCTTTGTAATATAGCCTGAAATCCGGCATCATGATGCCCCCTGCTTTGTTTTTCAACATTTTTTTTGCGATTCGGGATCTTTTCTGATTCCATACAAATTTTGGGATTGTTTGTTCCAGCACTTTGAAAAATGTCATTGGAACTTTGATTGGGATGGCGTTCAAGGTATAGATTGCTCTGGATAGCATAGACATTTTAACAATGTTTATTCTTCCATCCATGAGGATGGAATGTTTTTCCATCTTTTCGTGCCTTCAATTTCTTTCATGAGTGTTCTGTAGCTCCTAGAGTATAGATCTTTTATCTCTTTGGTTTATTCCAAAGT